CCCAAACCTTAAACCCTAAACCCTTTACGTTCCCCAACAGCAACCCAGGAAGGAGATACCCACTGCTGCAGGAGGCAGGGGGCGGAAGGGCCGAAATAGAACCTTTGCTTGGGACGGCCTCAAAGTTTAGTGTTTAGGGTTTAGGTTTGGGGGTTTAGGGTTTAGGGTTTAGAGGTTAGCGTTTGAAATCTAGGGTCAAAGCTTTGGAGTACAGGGTTTAGGATTCAGGGTTTAGGGGTATTGTTTAGGGTTTAGGGTTAATTATTGTCGAGGGTTTCAGGGTCCAAGTACCTGGACAGCAAGGCTATGATTGTAGGCTTGACCTGAAGAATGGACAAGGAAGTGGGAGTTACTGTATGATTATGGATGCAGGGTTTCCTAAGGGTCCAGTTGCTGATATAGTAGATAGCTTTGGCCCAAATGTGGGCATTGGCAGATCGACATTCGCCGTTCAGCTTGTGCGTGACTGCCTTTGAGCAATGGAAGTGCATTTGGGGCCCTCTATGCAAAAGTTCAAAGGGATTAAGCTAAGCCGAAAACTTATGGGTGCCAAAGCGCATGCTAAAGCAGTGAGAATGAGGCCTAAACAGATGTTTTGCAGCAGGAAACGTTCAGGGTTGAAATGGAAGTTTAGGGCTCAGGGCTTAAGGTTTGGGGATTTGGGTTTAGGATTTAGGGTCAAGTCAATCAAACAAATCACTGGATCATTGTTGGATAGAGCTGTTGTAGATACCCAAACCCACTCAGGGATACAAAGCAATTTTAGCAAGGTCCCCAATGGGGGCCTAAACCCTATACTTCTTGCAGTTTCCATTTTCTTTTCCATTCCTTCAGTACCCACTTACCAGCCAATACTATAAACCCAGAGAAACATCTTGAATCCTAAGCCATGTTGGAGAAAAACTAAACCCTCAAACCTAAAACCCTTAAACCCTAAACCCTTAAACCCTAAACCCTTAAGCCCTCAACCCTTAAACCCTAAACCCCTAAACCCTTAAACCCTTAAACCCTCAACCCTTAAACCCTTCAACCCTAAATCCCTAAACCCTAAGCCCATTAAACCCTAAACCCTTAAACCCCTAAAACAGCTCATAGGCGGTGCGGCGGCGATTCGTGCAGTGAGAGCGGCCTGTGCCTCCGATCTGAGTACGGCTGCCTCTGAAGGTGATCCGTAGAAGGATTACAGGGATTTAGGGTTTAGGGTTTAGAGGTTGAGGGTTATAGGGATTTAGGGTTTAGGCTTTAGGGTTTTTTAGGGATTTAGGGGTCTAGGGGTTTAGGGTTTACGGTTTTAGGGTTTAGGATTTAGGGTTTACGGTTCACTCCATAAAGAGGGTTATGGGGCTATATGGGGGACTGCTATAGGGGTTATTAAGGGGGATACTAGGAGTTTAGATTATAGCTCACATGAGCTGCAGTCTACACTCCTTAAAGAGGGTTGTATAGGATACAGGATTGAGGGTTTAGGGTGTAAACTCCTTGAAGGGGATCACATAAGGGAGTATGTAGGGGATTACTACAGGGCTAATTGAAGGGGCATACTAGGAGTTTAGACTATAGACTATAGGTCATATAGGGTATAAGGACATATTGGCGTATGTAGGGGTATCTTGGGGTTCAGTAGGGACTGGTCTCTATAGCGCGTGGGGTTTTAGGATTTACTGATGTTTAGGGGGAGTGGGGCAGTGGAAAAGAACATGTAAAGTACTATGGAGGTTTACGGTCAGGGTTTAGGGCTTACTGGTGATGAAAGGGGGGCTGAAGGAACAGAAAGGAACATGGTAACTGTTATTTAGGGTTAAGGGTTTATGGTGCTTGGGGCGGTAAGTAGAGCGCGAAGGAACCTGTAGCGCAAAAGTACCTAAATCGTAGACACTGTAGACACTGTAGGCCCAGAGTAATCCCGTGACACCCCTACTATTAAATACGGTTCCCCATATTTAAGGTCTATTATGGGGGAACAGTTGATATTAGTGGGTGGGCGGAGAATTTCATATTAGTATGAAGTAGTCCCCAAACCCTAAGCCCTGGACCCCCAACCCTCTAAACCCTTAATACAGGAACCCTTGTGGGCCCAGGCTGTACTTACGTTTCAATAAACGCTTGGTAGAGAACGTGGAATGGCCCAGAGCATGAAGCTAGTCAAATCTTTCGTGTTGAGGGTTGAAGGTTTGGGACGTAGGGTGGTAAGTAAAAAGTAAGAACTGAAGGAATGGAAATGCAAAGCTATTGCATTATCGAGAGAGCAGACCGCCAAGTTTTTGCTGTTGAGTAGGATAGGACTAGGAAGCATGTAAAGCCAAGCATTCAACAGTCTCGTAGCCTACAGCCACCCTTAAGCAGATAGAATGTGGCTTTTGGTATACTGTAATCCCTTCCCCCTAATAATAAACGACGCCCCCCCCCACCCCTTCCCTGATAATAAATAGTCCGGGTGCTCAGAAATTATTTATTATTAGGGTGGATATTTCCTGAAAGAATTTGGTAGGATTGCCTCCAATTGCTTTTAAGAAATCAATTTTAATTAAGATTCCTTTTGAAATTAATTGAAATTTCAATTAAAAGCCCGCTAAAAGCAATTGAAATTGAATTCAAATTCCTTTTAAAATCAATTGAAAGGGAATTAAAATCATGTTAAACTCAATTGAAATCTAAATAAAATTCCTTTTAAACTCATTTGAAATCAAATTAAAATCTTGTTAAAATCACGTTAGAATCAATTGGAATTTGATTTTAAAATTCCTGTTTAAATCAAATGAGATCGATTAAAATCCATGAAAAATCGATTAAAATCGAATGAAACTCAATTGAGATTTAATTAAGTACGGCTAAAACTGTAATAAAATCAATGAAATTCGCCTTCAGTTCTTGTATGTAAGATCCTTTACTAAAACCATATGAAAAACAATCAAACCCTAGGAAACGAAGGGGATCCCGAATTTTTTGTATTTCTACTATACCCCCCTAATGACTTCAAAACACCCCCTAATTCATTATGGTCTGGCTCCTCTTAAAAGTAGCACAGCCGCTTTTAAAATGCTCATGAGGAATTTTCAGGGCGCTGGATTTATTGTTTATTATTAGGGGTGGTTTTTATTAATGGCGGGAAGCGATTAATAAGATCCCCATATACCCCATATTCTATCTACTCAAGAGGGACTATAAACCCTAATTAAACTGCATGGTTTCTGTTTTGAGGGAGGTAGACAACCTAAACCCCAAGCCCTGAAACCCAACTTTGGTGCGGTAAGTAAGTAGAACATTCTGGACTAGCATAAGGCCCGAAAACAGCATGTCATAGGAATTTTGTGAGGTTTTTGGGACAGAGGGCGGGAATCTGGCACTGGCTTTCTTTATTTAGGGTTTAGGGTTATAGTTTCCACATAATCCGGATCCTCTGGAAGTACGTACGTACTTTGGGCCCGAATTATCTTGTGTTAGGCCCTTGGACACAAGGGTTTGGTTGATGCATTGATATATCTGATCCGGACGCCTAGCTGCCGCGTTTAGGGTTTAGGGTCTTAGGAGTAGTGCATGCGACATCGAGCTGTACATAGCAGCAAGCTGGTTTCACACAAAACAAAAAGTTGCAGCTTCTGCCTCTGCAAGGGATGCGCTGAGGTATTGGAGGTATCAGAACGCGAAGCAGGTGGACGAGGAAACCCTAAACCCTAAAAACCCGAAACCCTAAACCCTAAACAGCAGACCCCGGGAAAGCCTTCGCTCCACTGGGCCTGATTGACGTTAATTAAAGGGGGAACTTGGGGGGGAGGGGTGTAGTTTTTGAGGGGCTAGAAGGGGAACCCATGAGTCAGGGAAGCTTCAAAAACATCAAATGAGCTCTCGTCTAAACTCCTTGAAAGGGATTATCTAGCGGAGCATTATAGGGGTAACAACAACAACAACAACAACAACAACAACAACATCAACAACACCATCAACACTATCATCAACACTATCATCAACAACATCATCAAAAACATCATCAACAACCACAACAACATGAACAATAATATACGACGACAACAACAACAACAACTTGTTGTTGCTGCTGTTGAGTGAGGTTGTGGTTGTTGTCGTCGTCGTCGTCGTCGTCGCCGTCGTCGCCGTCGTCGTCGTCGTTGCCGTTGCTGTTGCTGTTGCTGTTGCTGTTGCTGTTGCTGTCGCTGTCGCTGTCGCTGTTGCTGCTGTTGTTGTTGTTGTTGTTGCTGTTGCTGTTGCTGTTGCTGTTGCTGTTGTTGTCGTTGTTGATGATGATGAAGATGTTGTCATCTTATATTCTTGTTCTTGTTCTCGTGTTTGTTGATGGTGTTTTTGATGATGCTGTTGATGATGTTGTTGATGTCGTTGTTGTTGTTGTTGTTGTTGTTGCTGTTGTTGTGGTGGTGGTGGTGGTGGTGAACCCTTCGTGCTCTCAGGACCGGCAGGATGTGGTGAAACCGGCGCAGCTCGACAAGCTGCTATCAGGTGGGGGTGGCCTGGTTGGACAAGAGAGGAGTAACGCAGCGCATGTGTCACGATAGCAGCTAGCGCAAGGATACCCGGAAACGCTTTACTTTGCGTTTGCCCGGGAAGACAATACTGTCTATTACGCGGGCAAGCACCTGATGACATCGCTTGCCGCGCGCTGGGTCCTTGCTGGTGCAGACTGCATGGAGAAGGCTTGGCTGTGCGTCTCATGCAGTGTTTAGGGCCTGGGACTAAATTAAATGAGTTTTTTTCTCGTTTGTTTTCCGGGATGGTTTCCTGTAAAAAGATTTGTGTTCGCTACTTGTGCCCGCCTTGTGAACTTGATGACTGTCTTCTTTCTCCCGCAGAAACGAGCTTCTTGCTCTGCAGACATACGCGCGCATGCCGCTGTTGGCCACTCCAAGTGCTCCAAGTGGGCAGGAGTTGGCTGACGGCTTGCGGGTCATCTTCTTGAACGAGGCGGCCTGCAAGAACAAGGCCCCCTGCCAACGCTTGCTACTACTTGCTTTCTATCTGGGTATGTCGGGAAGGCGGGGGTCGACCGCCTGGACGGCAACATGTTGATGAGTGCCGACGTTGCCGAGAGGTGGGATGCTCATAGATGGCAGCGCTGAGGACTAACCGCGTACGTCCGTGTCCCAGGCTTGGGCTTTACAAAGCCGGCGACCGGTTCTACACTCCCGCGCAGATCTGGGCGCTTCTGCCCTGGGACTCCACAGCCGTCCCGGAAACGTTCCTGGTCACTTGGGTCATCTTGGGACGTTGCTTGTTTTTAAGCTTCTTTTCGACAACAGAGTACGGCGATGAGGATCAGAGGCAATCGGACATGGATGACCTTCATAGCGACACCACACCCGAAAAGGAGACAGAGACGTATGCCAATTGGGTCAATGAAGTGAACCTTTCTCTGAACGCGCTGCACAGGCAGTGGGTGGGGAGAACTGATCGTGTTGGGGGGCGAGAGCAGGGTATGCATTGTTGATTGTGTCCTGATGCGGGGATGCGGGGGTGGGGTTAACAAAATGCCCTAACCCTCAAAACATGGCCTAAACCCTAAACCCTAAACAGCACTTTCCATTTTATTTTCCATTTTCCCTATATAACCACATAAACGCTGTATTCCCTCAACCAACCCTAAACCCTAAACCTTCAACCAACCCTAAACCCCAAAAGGGGGCCCTCAACGTAAACTCTTGTCTCTGGCTGGCAAAGTCTACTCCATGTACTTCCTGGTGCTGAAAAGGGGAGTGGGGGTGGGAAGGGGTGGTTTAGGGTTTAGGATTTATAGGGTTTAGGATTTAGGGTTTAAGGTTTAGGGCTGAGCTACTGTTATAGGGGGTGATAGTGGCATTTTTATGGGGATCCATTCCCCAAGGCCCTTACCCTTAGGCACCAGCAAGTGTAGCTTTCAAAACCATTCCCTGGCGGGGCGCTGCGCATGTTGGCGATGGCTTGCAGAAGGAGGGGAAAGTTTAAGTGATGCTGTAGACGCCTGGACAAGTACCTATATCATTCCCTTAAGATCCACGAATGACTAAGGCCCCCACATTATCAGTACCACCAGACAAGAATGACCAGTCAAGTTGTGTTGAAATCTTTGTATATTAAAACCAGAACGTAACCTGAAAGGCAAGTCATGACCCTAAACCCTAAACCCTTTGAGTGCATCCTTGTAAGAATGATCCTTACCCAGAGGGTCCAAGTACCCAATAATTAGGTACGGGGGCTTAGGGTTTAGGGTTTAGTTATTCAACAGGTGCGAGAGTCACATGATGTGTGACCAGGCTGTATTTTGTGCCCCCTTCATCGTCCATACACTGTTAGGTTGCACAGTTTCGGCTTTCGTACTACCCGGCTTTGGAGTTTTGAAAACCATGTGTTTTGCTTTTCTTTGCAAAACCTGGGCCACTGCTCGAACTCTGCAAACAGTCCAAATCTTTAAGCACTGAAAAGCCAAATACCTAAGTCCTGGGACCCTACATCCGCCAACACTACCATGGATTGAGAAAATTTCAGGTACAAACAATCCCAACCGAATATACTCCTAGGCTCATTCCAGTTTCCATGGTCTTGACCCGAGCCCCTATAATGGTTTCCACTTCATTGTCCATTCTGTGTTCCACTTGATTCTCGATTCTTCTAACATTTAGAAGCTCCTGAACCCTACTCTAAACACCTAAACCCTAAATTCTGAATCCTGAACCCTAACATAATTGTAGTTCATTAAAAGGGCAGATTCAGGCATGGATTTGGGCAGAGAAGAAGAGAAGAATTGGAGTTCCTGAAAAGAAGCTTCCCGAAACCCCTAAACCTCCAAAGCCTTCCTGGGGCCCTAAGATTTAGGGTTGAAGGTTCTGGGTTTGCGGTTTAGGGTCTAGGGCTCAAGGTGTAACCTGATTCCCACGGTTTATGGATACAATTCTGCGTAAGCCTACGTATACTACAGCACCACAATTCCTAAACTTATGTGTTACGCGCATAAAATATGTTGGCCGTCAACAGTACATCCCCTCAACCCGTCCCCTAAACCCCAAACCCTTCACCCTAAACCCCAAACCCTACACCCCCAAATCCTAAACCTCAAACCCCAAACCCTAAACCAAAAACCCAAACCCTTCACCATAAATCCTAGACCCCAATGCCTAAAGCTCAAACCCCACACCCTAGACCCCAAACCCTAAACCTCAAACCTCAAACCCTAATCCCTAAACCCTAGACCCTAAACCCCAAATAATAGTTTCCATGTTCTTTTCCATTATCCCTCATATAACTCCCAATTATATACCCTATGATCCCTATATACACCCATATACTCCCTATAATCCCCGTAGTCCCCATTTTATTTTCCAATATCCTTATATAAACCCAATGTATACCCTGTTATAGTATAGTCGTTTTCATTTTCTTTTCCATGATCCCACGAAGCCCTAAACCCCAAACCTAAAACCTTAAACCCAAGACCCAAAAACACTAAGCCCCTAAACCCAAAAAATCCTACACCCCAAACCCTAAACCCTAGACCCTAACCCCCAAATAGTAGTTTCCATTTTCTTTTCCATTATCTAATCTATACCCCATCATAATACAGTAGTTTCCATTTCCTTTTCCATCAAACTCCAAAAAGATATAACTCCAATGTACCCCTAATCCCTACATAACTGTAGTTTTCATCTCATTTTCCATTATCCCTATATAACCCCAATATATACCCTATTATAATATCGTCGTTTCCATTTCCTTTTCCGTTATCCCAAGAAGCCCTAAACCCAAAAACCCTAAACCCTAAACTCCAAACCCCAAAGCGTCTAAGCCCCTAAACCCAAAAATCCTAAACCGCAAGCCCAAAAACCCGAAGCTCCTAAACCCCAAAATCCTAAACCCCTAAACCCCAAACCCTCAACCCCCAAAAAGGAGATGCGGCCGCGGCCTTGGGCCAAGTTCGAAGATGTAGAATGCCCTCCTTTTCAGACTCTGCCGCTGGGCGTTTCTATGCAGATTCCTTAAAGGATTTAGGGTTTGAGGTTTGGGGTTCAGGATTTAGGGTTTGAGGTTTGGGCTTTAGGATTTAGGGTTTAGGGTGTAGGATTTAGGGTTTAGGGTCGAGGAAACATGGCATAGGAGTATAGAGGTCTCGGGGCTTAGGGCTACCACCCCAACAATGGATCATCAGATGTAACGGACGATGGAAAGAAAATCGAAGCTACATTTCAGCAGCTGGATACCTGATTTGTTTGCATAAGTAGCACGTCAACCTCTGGGGCCTGGGAACTCAACAGCTAGGCTTTAAACCCTGAACCCTCAACCCTAAACACCTAAACCTTTGTTGAGGCTTGAAGGCTTGAAAGGCCGGTCTCCTTTCATGGCAAGAAGAACCAGTACGCCCGCCAACAACTGCAATTCACCACTCCCCTTTGTATAGGACTCGCCCTTGGTATAGAATAACAGTAAGATCTGAAAAAATGTAATCGCAGAATCAAGGGCTTGAAGTCTTATGCTTAGGAGTGAAGTTACCCTAAACCCTAAACCCTAAACCCATTAACCCAGTTGCCCAGGCTGCGCCAAGTAGAGGAAGCCGCTCCCAAGATCCGACGAGAGGTCCGAGGCTTTTTGAGAAAGTTGGAATCACCGGAGCCATCGCAAACCACTTGGCTGCCTTGGCGCGACTGTAGGTGGGCACTCCGGCTTAATTTGCTTATTTTCATTTGAGTAGTATTTTATTTGGGGAGATTATGGTACATTATGGTACCCATTATAGGGTAAGATTATATCCTCCTTTTGGGTTATAGTATTTTATATAAGAATTTAATCTTACTAGGTTCAACCACCAAAAAACACTATTCATTTGAAGTTGCATAACCATGCTTTTTGAACCATTTTTCAGATAGTGGCATAGGAAGATACTCATGTTGATACTTCTTCTTGGTTTTCTATATACTTCCCCAAGTTCATTTCTACTTTAACCCACTAAACCCTGAACCCTAAACCCTAAATCCTGGAGATCCAGGCGCATGCCCTGTGCCAATTAGCCTTGCCCGTCCACACGCAGCTCCTGTTCCTTCCTGCCGCGGGAGCTGTCGCGCTGCAGGGGCCCAGTGCCTTGCTCCCCCTGGGACTCACCCAAGGAGGCGCTCAGATCGGTTTAGGGTTTAGGGTTGGGGTCAGGAGATAGGGCTTTGGTATGTAGGAAGAGCCCAAATTACAGCCAAGAACGGCTAACCAAATGGAAGAGAACAGGGAAAATGAAACGGGCACTGGGACTCTTGAGGGTGGTTTATAGGATTTGGGGCCAGGCAGAAAGAACCCAAGTTATAACCAGGTAATATCCCCTAAACCCTTAGCCCTAAACCCTAACTCTTATAATCTGCTACTAGACTGTGACTGGGTGACGGCAAGACCCAAGATTTAGGACTTATTCTGGGTCCCAAATGCCTAAGGACACTTGCAGGCGGGTAGTTACCACCGGGATACCCCATGCATAGGGGAACACTATAGAGGTTATTCAGGGGGATACTAGGAGTTATGGCTCATATGGCTCAAATATGGCTTGCATAGGAAAATTGGATTAGACATGAGATCCTTGTGGTCTTTCCATAGATAGGGGAACTTGAATATAGGCCCCGCTATGCTAGAGTCCTTGTGAGGACCCTCAAACTTGTACCTTTAGTCCAAGTCAAAAAAATACGATGCCTTATTCGTTTTTTTATATTTTGTACAAAGGTAGCCGCCTTACAACTATCCGCCTGGAACTCTCCTGGAGCCAATTGTTCAGGTGAAGCTAAACATCCAAGACCCTAATTCCTAAACCCCTAAACCCATTAACCCTAAACACCCCAACCCTGAATCCTGAACCCCTAAAGCCCTAAACCCTCAAACATCAAATGCTGATGCCCGTGAAGCCGCTAACCCTCCAAGACAAGACCCGGGGGTTGTTCTCAAGATCCTTGTAAAGAAATTAGGGTTTAGGGTTTAAGGGTTTAGGGTTTAGGGTTTAAGGGTTTAGGGTTTAGTTTTTCAGGGTTTAGGGTTTAGGGTTTAAGGGCCCATTGGGAATACATTTCCTTAAACGGGGGATCCTAACCAGTAAGGGAACCTACCTTCTTGCCATATTGGGGGCAGGTAGTTTGAACAACTATGCATGGGAGCTTCGAATAGCTTAGGGTCGACCCAGACCTCCGGCATGCTTAATGGGGGATGTAGGGTTTAGGTTTAGGCTATATAGGGGTTCTATGGGGATGTTATAGGGATATATAGGGTTTGAGGATCCTTTATGTACTTTTTGGTGTATGGGATTCCTTATATTTATGTAATCCTTTTTGCTTCCTAGGGTAATGTGGGCTAAGTAATATGTACCCCAGTATTTCCCGTGTTCCCTTCTTATTTTGGGGTCTACCTCTTCAAGCTGAACTTTAGGAAAGAGGGCTGGGGAA